GCTTTGCATAAGTTACTTAGGACAAATTTTAAATGGGTAGCTTAGGACTTGACAACTACGCAATGTGACTTGACTCGAGTTGCTTGAAATTTGGTGGCAACTCGACTGTTTTTTTTTTTTTTTTTTGCAAAGTAACTTGAGACTTGCTTATGACTTTCACATACATCACTTCCTCTCACTTCTGATTATTCTCTCAGTTCTGTGGGAACACTGAGTAATACTGCCTCTGCCTCTTCTTCTTGCTACATGCCTTCCACTTGCGCTCAGTGCTACCCAAAAACAACCTCCAAATACACTTAAGATGCACGACTCTAAATTCGGATTTGCCCGGCACTGAAAATACACTTTGAAATCTGCAACATAGTGGGGGCGCAAACACTGATATTAATCCCCGTCTGTCTTGTTTAGTTCCCACAAACCATTCCCTGTGCTTGCTCAGGGTTCGATTTGGGATTTTTTTTTTTTTGGTGTCCTGGCAGGACTCCAGATGTTTAAGCGAGGATTTTCTGCTTCTGTGTGTGTGTGTGTGTGTGTGTGTGTGTGTGTGTGTGTGTGTGTGTGTGTGTGTGTGTGTATGTGTGTGTCTATGAAATCTAGGTCAGTCCTGGTGTCGTAGCCTGCTGGTGAACCCTGCAATCACACCGCTGTGGTCAATGAAAGATGGCATGCGGAACGCAGCAATGCCATGGACCGTCCGTGTCCTCATCTCGTCTTGTACAATAAGAACAACAGAGACCACCATGCAAGTGACCAGCCCTCATTTGGAAACTACTTAAGAGGAGTGATCCAACCTCCTTTTAGTCGAACATATCAATTGCGCCTTAGTACAACAAATACCTGTTGAATCATTATTCTTCCAATGAATGAATAGCCTTTACAACATTTTTCAAGTGTCTGAATCTTGGTGAAATTTAACCCTGCCCCAAACTCAGTCAAGCCCCCCGGAAAGAGTTAGCTTCCAACATCACTTTCACCTATCAGCATTAAATAAAATGAAAAAAAGTCCTCAGGATTCATGCATGAAATGTGACAGAAAGTCAACCATTTTGGGTCAATTCCAGGGTTTTGATACTGAGGCAAACTCTTACTTGGGAATTCAACCAAATGAGCTCCAATCGGAAGTGAGTGTCTGAAACAAATAGGTGACACAAATTTGCAATGCATTTTTTGTTGTTGGTTTTTTTGGTTTTTTTTGCCTATGCCAGATGCCAAATCTAAGGCCCGGGGACCATATCCAGCCCACAACATCCCTTTATGTGGTCAGCTAAAGCAAATCAATTGCGTCGACTTCTTGATTCTTGCTGTTATCGAACCAAAAACTGCAAATTGTCACTGAATTTCGAAAGTTACTCAATTGGTCGATCAGAGTCTGCCAGTGAATATTTTCACCCATCCAGGTCATTTCATTCTCAGCACATGGAATCAATAAAAACGGGTGTGTTGTCATTTTCTTGGTTGGTTTGTCACTCGATTGGACAAATGGCTGTTTTTTGGAGTCAGTTATGCAGTCATTCAGTCTGTCAGTTAATAAGTTAGTGAGCTCGTTTGTTATCAAGTTATTTAACTGGTCAATTAGTCAGTCAACCAGTCGAACTGAAACCGTGAAAACTATAATAAGGAAAGCACCTTCTTACTTGTACATTCATTGTTGCTCAAAATGTGAACGTGTTTGCATTAAATCACTGCATGATGCTGGAGCTGGATGCTCCTTTCTCGCATTTCTGACAGGTGGTCTAATCAACTGTACATTTGACAGGCCGGCCATGGGCCTTTATGCTATGCGTTGCTATACCAGAAGTGCCCGCAGTGAAGGTTGGCGTCAATATAAAGCATGTGCCACATTTAATTTCTGCGAGCCGAGCTGTTTACTACACTGGTGTGTTTACTCTTTGTTTGCCAACAAGCGTAAGGCGCTAGCTAAAGAGCGCGGCGATGGGACAACATCATACAGCATTCAGCAGGGTGCCGAGTATCAGGCCTGTTTGGGTGGAGGAAGGGCGCAGCAACAAGGCCTGGCGGCGGCAACGGCAAACGGGGAGGTCACACGCGCCATGATGAATTACACTCCACGTTGTCGACATTGTTGTCATCTTGTGTGCTGCTTTTCCATTAATGAGTCCTCTCGAGGGTGAAAGGGGTTCTGCTCAATTCTACTTTGCGCTGTATGTGAGTCTACAAATGACAAT